CCCCCCCCCCCCCCCCAAAAAAAAAAAAAGCACTTTGGTTTTGAGAGATCAACTGTGGCATAAGAGGTTTTAGTATGTATGCCAGCAACTTAGAAAAAACCTTATACACAAAATTAGAACAGCTTATGGGCCTGAACTCTCCAAGTTCTTCAGGGTTTGGGACTTTGGGGATTAGTATCACATTTGTTTCATTAACCTCTTTCAACATAAAACCAGACTGGAAGAAAGATTGTACTACTTCAACCATATCTTTTTCAATAATAGACTAGTACCTGTGATAGAATAAACCTAGTAGGCCATTAGGTCCAATTGCCTTCATAGCTCCCATGCTAAAAATTGCTGCTTTGATTTCCTCCATAGTAGGTGGTCTTAGGAGGTTGTTATTTATCTCTGTTGAAACTATTTGTGGTATATCATGCAGTATCTGGGAATAGTCTCTGTCTCCCTTTGTTGTGAACAAATCTGAGTAGTGGTCATTAATCATCTGCTTAATTTGTTCCAAATCGGTGATCCATTCCCCCTCTCTATCTTTAAGCATAATGATTTTGTTCTTCTGTCTCCTCTAAATGGTAGATGTATGGAAGAACTTTGTATTCTTGTCTCCATATTTGAGCCATTTAACTCTTGACCTTTGGCCCCAATATTTTCCCTCCCTTATCCAAAGCTTTTCTACTTCTCCTCTAATCTCCTTAACCTCCTCTTGAGTTAAACCGGGGAGCAACCCATTCTGATAAACTGTCAACTTCTCTTTTAGGTTGTTAATCTATTTTCTATTATTCTTGAAATGAGCTATACTCCATCCCTTTAATTATGTGCAACAGTTCTTAAGTTTCTGCTTAGGGCGAAACATTCTAGAGCCATGCACCATTTGTCCCCAGCTTTGCTCAATAACTTCTCCACACCACTCCTCATCAACCCAATATGCTTCGAATATAAAAGGTTTTCTCACTTTAACTACTGATGGATCAGTTTCCAAGCACAAAGGAGAGTGGTCAGAGTCAATCGCAGGATGTGCTATCACCACTGCATTTGAGAAAGTCATTCTCCAGCTGGGTGATGCTAAAGCTCTATCCAGTCTTTCTTTCACATTTGCATTCCCCCTGTCTATGGTTATCCCATGTGGATTTACACTCTTTACTTTTCATGTCAATCAGATTATTATCATCCATAAAAGCTCTGAAACTCCTCACCTTACAACTTGTTTTGTCCCTACCTCCCTCCTTTTCACCAATTGAGACAATATCATTAAAATCTCCTATACACAACCAGGGTAGTTCGAGGCCCTTCCCAAAATGCCCAATCATGTCCCACTGCTTGCATCTAATTTAATAATCGGGATGCCCATAGATGAAGGACAAATGCCACAGTACCTCATTCCCATTAGGTCTAAAGGTCACATTCACATGAGTTTGACTCATATCTTCTACCTTCAAAATAGTGGTCGCAGCCCACATGATGCACATTCCACCAGACAGACCAACTGGCTCAACTACTACTTTGTTATCAAAGTGTAGTTGCTTTCTTATTCGATCAACATTTTCTCTTTTCATTTTTGTTTCACTTAGACACACTACTTGAGACTTAAATTGGACACAGAGGTCCTTCAAAGCAAGAACTGTAAATGATGCCCTAGTCCNCACTACTTGAGACTTAAATTGGACACAGAGGTCCTTCAAAGCAAGAACTGTAAATGATGCCCTAGTCCCTGACAATGCCAAGCTATGATTTTCATGGCAAAGGTGGGGGCATGGTAAGGCTGGCCGGATGCAGCTCGTCNGCCCTAGTCCTTGACAATGCCAAGCTATGATTTTCATGGCAAAGGTGGGGGCATGGTAAGGCTGGCCGGATGCAGCTCGTCTACGGTAAGTAATCAACCGCACCATATGCTTTTTAATGGAACGACGCCGTTTTACGACATTTTTTCTTCTTTTTTTTTTGGAAAAATTATAGACCAAAGCGATGTCGTTTCCAGTACACCAAACCAGCCCCACCTTCGTTCAAAAAAACCCCTAAATTGAACCAAAACCCTAAACGAGAAAAAGAGGCTCTGCAACCCCAATACGAAGATCACAAACTCCAACCCCATCATCAGGTATTTTTCATGGGTTCTTCGATTGTTCAATTCGTGTGTGTGTGTGTGTGTGTGTGTTCCTCTATATATATATATATTGATCGAAGTTCTGTTCGTATGACAAGTTTGATTGTGATGCGTTCCGTGACTTTGTACTGGAATCGATGTAGTTGAGCCTTGTGGTTGAATCAACAATTAAAATGTTGTGGTTTTGATTGACAGTAATTTAAGAATGAGTGGACACATATACATGATAAAGTTTGGGTTTTTATCGATATCATCTGGATGAAGTATCTCAGTAATTCCTAAATAATATGCAATTATTGCTGATTTTTTACTTTTATTTGAGTGGTTGTCATAATTACTTTTATCATAAAATGAGTTCTTGGTTACTTGGTACCTTTAAAACCTTTTTGAATAATTGTGTCAAAATTGTTTGGAGAAGATAGTCAGTTAGCAAGCTAATTCCTTGTAATAACATATGCTTGGCTAGTGCCAAGTGAAATCAAGTCCTATTTCGTTTTCAGAAAATCTAGAATACAAAAGGATTATGAGACATATTTTGCAGGAAATGTGTCTTTGATATCTAGACATGGTTTGTTAGACAGAAGTACTAGAATTTTATACTGTCTTGCTTTCAAAATTTACTACCTCTAGTAAGTGTTACCCATTCTGTGAAAACTTTATGAATTGGAATTTCTCTATAGGCAAATTTTATATGCTTCAGATTTTATATATAGGATTCAAACTATACATCTTTTATGTTTAGAATTTTTAAAATTACTTGAGGTGGTATGTGAAATGGAATGGGCTTGTCTCAAGTTCTTTGGAGTTTGGAGAACAAATATAATCCAATCAACTTTGTGAATTTGGTTGTATGCCCTTTATTATGTTTAGTGAAAATGCTTGAACAAGCATTAGCGAAAATACTAGAACAAGTATTAGTGAAAATACTTGAACAAGGCTCAATCACCTTATTTTGGTGATGTTTTTAATGGCAGCAATTATGTGGACATTGTTTTCCTAGTTTTTCTCTTATGCCTAATTTTGACTTGTATCCTCCAGCTGCAAAATAAACTCATCTGCATTTTTTACCTTATAACTCAACTGCTACTAACAGCAGCCAAGTAAAAGTTCACATTTCATCAAATACCAGCACCCCATCAGGTATGGAACACTGCATCAGATTTTCTGCACTGTTTGCATCAGATTTTCTGCACTCTTTGAATTAATTTCTGCACTATTTGCATCAGATTTTCTGCACTATTTGCAACAGAATTTCTGCACTCTTTGCAACAGATTTTCTGCACTCTTTGCAACAGATTTTCTGCACTCTTTGAATTAATTTCTGCACTATTTGCATCAGATTTTCTGCACTACTTGCAACAGAATTTCTGCACTCTTTGCAACAGATTTTCTGCACTCTTTGCAACAGATTTTCTGCACTCTTTGCAACAGATTTTCTGCACTCTTTGCAACAGATTTTCTGCACTCTTTGCAACAGATTTTCTGCACTCTTTGCAACAGATTTTCTGCACTCTTTGCAACAGATTTTCTGCACTCTTTGCAACAGATTTTCTGCACTCTTTGCAACAGATTTTCTGCACTCTTTGCAACAGATTTTCTGCACTCTTTGCAACAGATTTTCTGCACTCTTTGCAACAGATTTTCTGCACTCTTTGCAACAGATTTTCTGCACTCTTTGCAACAGATTTTCTGCACTCTTTGCAACAGATTTTCTGCACTCTTTGCAACAGATTTTCTGCACTCTTTGCAACAGATTTTCTGCACTCTTTGCAACAGATTTTCTGCACTCTTTGCAACAGATTTTCTGCACTCTTTGCAACAGATTTTCTATAGTCTTTGCATCAGATTTTCTGCAGTCTTTGCATCAGATTTTCTGCATTATATACTTGATGCTCCAAACATCAAAATGCCAGAAGTTGATTTGCTGTTGTATTTGGTGAAATATCGTAATTGATTTGCAATATTCTGTGTATGTCCAACAGCTTTCATCCATTACCTGGTAGCTTGTTCAAGCAATTCTACCTGATTCAAGAATGACATCTTCAAGCACGGCAACAAGCAATGAAGATTTAAGATATCGCAATATGTATTGCCCCATTTGTAGCAAAAGAGGGATTATCAAAGTTTCAGAATCTGAAAAAAATCCTGGAAAACTATATTGCAAATGTCCAGATGATTCCAGTCACTTTTTTAAGTGGATGATACCATCAACCACTGGAAAATCAACTTTATTTGCAACAAGAACAGTCATTCCCACAAACGGCGTCAAACTGATGGTGTAAACCGAATTCTATGAGTAATAAATCGCTATTATGCTTTGTAGTGATGGTGGTGTGATAATGATTGAAATGCTTTTCTAGGGACTGGGAGGATTAACACAGAAGAAGTATAATGGTTCACCAGCTCGGGAACTCGGCTAATCCACTCTTTAATGGAGACTCTTGCTCCTTGCCTTTCGATAATGATGTATACTAGAGTACAATTGCTAGTTTTTGTCTCTCGGGTCCTCCGCCCTTCTTTCGGGGTGTTACATAATATTTATAGGGATGTTCCCTATTTAGTGGGATCTTGACCGAGATTCTTGCCCTTATTTCATGGGGTTCTCCTTATTTCTAGGAGAAGATCTTGGTTGATTGAGATTAGGTGTCTTGATTATAGCTTTCTAACGCTTCAGAAACCTCTCGTGGTCATCCAATCGTTGCCTTGCCTCAAATGACATTCAACCCTTTGCCTTCTGACCTCAGTTAGTATGACTGACCTCCCGGTTTGAGCTGAACTCCTGAGCTAAAACTTGGGATTTTACTTTAGGCATCATCATCTTTATAGTTGTTTCCACTAATATTCAAAATTTTTCACTCTTGTTGTAATTATACCATTACTTTTGTTCTTGTACCCAATAATATCGTTAACCTTGCAATGATTTTGTAAGAACACCATTATTGTTGTAAATCCTATAAGTAATATTGTAACTATACCATTATCTTTGTAATTCTCTCATTGTTGTAGTACATCTTCCATCTATCATTGTTGTATAATGTAAGTGAGTAATAGGTCAATTCGATTGCCCTTCTTTTGCTTTACACATGGTTTTTTTTTTTTTTTGCACCCTTAGGCAACAAAAACTCAATTTTTTGCAGCCAACAACTTTTTTGTAACGTACCGAAAAGCTTGTGGAATGTACTGTAGTTTAGTCCAAAAGGGACCATGAAGCACTGAGGAGTGAGGACCCATCTGCAAGACAGGAAAACAAGAGACAACCAATACTAAAGTGTAATGCACCTAACTTCTTTCCATTTTTTCCACCTACCTATCAAACTTTTTCAAAATTTCAAAGTGTTCATAGAGTTTTTTTTTTTTTGGGAGAAGATTTAGTAGGGGTGTTAATTTTATTCATTAATACAAATCTGACCTGGCACAAAAATCGAAAATAACATTATTAGTTGACACGAGTAATAAATAGTTCAGATTAAAATTTGACACGAATAACATGATTAATAAGTAATATAAATAGAAAATAAGTAAATATACCTTTACTTTTGTAATTAACTCCACTACTATTGTACATTTCTTACTGATATAGTAAATACCCCATTCTCTTTGTAGTTGTTTCCACTAATTTTCAAAATTTCTCACTCTTGTTATAATTATACCATTACTTTTGTACTTACACCTAGTAATATCGTTAAACTTGCAATGATTTTGTAAGAATACTATGATGTTTGTTATTGTACCTGTTATTGTTGTAAATCCTGGAAGTATTATTGTAACTATATCATTATCTTTGTAATTCTGTCATTGCTGTAGTACATCTTTTATCCATCATTGTTATACAATGTAAGTGAGTAATAGGTCAATTCAGTTACCCTGCTTTTGCTTTATACATGGCCTTTTCTGCATCTTTTTACAACAAAAACTCAAATTTTTGCAGCCAACAGCTTTTTGGTACCGTACGAAAAAGCTTGTGGGATGTACTGTAGTCTAGGCCGAGTAGAAAGAACCATGTGATGTACTGAAGAGTGAGGACCCATCTGCAAGACAGGAAAACAAGAGAGAACCAATACTCAAGTGTAATGCACCTAACATTTTTGGGTCCGACTCCTCTGCGGTTGGGGAGTTACCCCTTATGTCATGCGGTTTATTAAAACGGCACCGTTTCACTGTTCTTTTTGCTTTTTTTTTTTTATTTCCCCTTACCAGGTCTGAAATGCCTTCTTCTTCGTTAGACTTCAACAGCAAATCCTTGCGTGGTGCAGCAAATCTGGGCAACTTCAGGCAACTCCAACGACCTCAGGCAGCTCCGACTTCAGGCAGCTCCGACTACAGGCAACGTATGTTCCTTCGTTCTCTCTGTGTTAAGAATTTCCATTTAGATGCGTCAAATCAAATTCAAATTGTTCCTTCGTTCTCTCTGTCTTCTTTTTTTTTTTTTGGATAGAACCTTTTGTTGGCGTTGAAATTTGATGTTGAAATTCAAATTTTGATGTTGAAATTGGCTCCCTCTTTCTCCTTCAAGCAAATCTCTCACACACACCTCCCCACCCTCCACCTGTTTGAGAAAATGCCAGAAAAAAAGGAATTTACCACTAAGCACCACTGAACCTTGTGAATTCAACCAATCAAAGCAACTACATTGTTATAAAATCTTAGAAAGGATTTTCGAGTTAGCTGTTTAACTTTATGATATCCCCTATTTGCAGCACAAGGCAGATACATAGGAAGTTAAAATTAAGAAAATAACTTTATACGTGAGGCCCCTTGGATGCAAACGCATATCTGATTGTTTGGATGGTTCTCTCAATCTCCACTTTCTCATGAATGCAAATGAGTAAAACAACATATTTGATCTCCATACCAACTTAATGAGATGGAGCTAATTAATGGCAATTTGGTACTGATCATGCATAATCTAATTTCTTGACAAGTCTGTTTATTGAATCAATGAACAAGTTCATCTGACCATTTTCTTCAACAGTGTGTGTGTGTGTCTTGGATATTCAGAAGGTTAGTCATATGAACTCCATGTATTTCATTAGGGGATAAATAGTCCCAAAAATGTTGTGCACCTTGTATTGCTTTTATTCCAAGCAGAAAATAGTTTTTGCTATGCATTGAAACTTACTTGTCATTTTTCTTCAGAGGTACCCATGTCGTTACATCCCCCAGATGGCATATATCTTGTGGCAGTTTACCAACATTTGGTTTTAAACTTTTAATGATATATCCATGTTACAAATTGTTTGGCTGCATGTGATTTGATGATGGTGATTATTGAATACAGGTATTGGAGTTGGCTGGGAATGCAGCAAGGATAACAAGAAGAATTGCATAGTGCCAAGGCACATTCAGCTTGGAGTGAGGAATGATGAGGAGCTTGGCAGGTTTTTGTGTGGATTCCATTTTCCAAATTAGTTGCCTTAGGAAATTTGTATTGTCTAGGTGAGAAAATGCTATTGTTTAGTTCCAGAGTTTGATTATTATTGTAATTAACATTGAAATTTTTTTTTGGAATTTTGATATGTATGGTTAATTTGGAACTTCAGAAATTACAGCAGCCCTTTAATTCATTCAAAAGTTTTCTAGAGTTGCTGGTAAGCTTGAATAGTGATGGCAGACTGAGTTTCTTCTGAGAAGCTGGTTTGCTGTTATGTATCACCAGAAGTTCTTGTTGCCATTCACCCATAATCCTCCATTCATAATGATGCTTTTGTATACATAACCTTACAGAAATACAGCAGGCAATTCAACTACAAGACACTCAAGAAGCAGAGTGTACCCACTACCCAGTATCCATTCATATCAATTGCAGTGATTAATTCTCAATATAATGAGAAGCACAAGACAATAACATTAATTATTAACTCATTAAAAACTACTGTATATTGCCTCTCTAAACACAAATTCAAAACAAACTGTTATCTAAAACATAACAAACAAAAAAAAATAATGCAGGTTAACAAAAGAACCTTGCTAAAAGTGAATAGCCACCATCACTACACCTCAAACAGCCCTAAACCAATCGCCAATTCCTCAGCTCTTTGAATTTGCCCCCTCATTTTCCACCTTTTGAGCAAAAAGCTTCGTTGCAATCATATTATCATCAAAATACCGCGCATAGGGGTGCCCCTTTGGAACTAGCCTCCTATACTAATCAAAATTCTTCTCAGCCTCATCTTTCTTCTTCAACAAAGTATATATTATCCCCTGACACATACGGTCGGAAATCCCTAGGCTCCTCCTGCGCAAGCTCTTGATAAATCCTCAAAGCATACTTATAGTCCCCTTCAATGACCCGAATTTGCGCAAGTAAAAGCTTAAAATCCTTCCAATCATCCTTTTTGTTGTCTTTCTTACACATCTTCATTCCCTCCTCAATCCTTTTCTCAATTTCCTTCATTTCACTAGTCTGAATCCTCCTAAGAAGCTGGTAATACCAACCCGTGATAAGCCTCGACACGAAAAAGGTTTTTATCATTATTTCATTGAACCTACTTTCGGCCAACTCAGTCTCTCCACCGTAGCAATGCATGTGGGCTCTCAACAATGGCCATTCAATGTCACTGGGCTCAAGTTCAATCAACCTTTCAATAATGCTTATGGCTTCATGGACTTTCTGATTTTTTATTTGAATCTCCATCAGGCTTCGAAGAACTTCAACATCATTTGGGGGTTTTAGGATTTGGAAGACGAGGGTTAGATGATGTTGACGATGAGGATTTGATTGACACAAGCAAACTTGGACAATTCTTTGAGGAAGAAGAAGGCGAGAGAAATAGAAAGTCGGGGACAGAGGGAGACTGCAGATATGGAAATTAAAGGGCCAAAACGACGTCGTTTTGGTAAGGGCCAATAAAAAAAAATATTCCAAAAACAAGTGAAACGCCGCCGTTTTACTTAACCGTATGTCATGTAGTTTTTTCCTTACCGCAGACGAGCCGCTCCCAACATTTTTGCATTTTTTCCACCAACCTATCAAACTTTTTCAAAATTTCAAAGTATTCATAGAGTTTTTTTTTGGGAGAAGATTTAGTAGGAGTGTCAATTTTATTCATTAATACGAGTCTCACCTGACACAAAAATTAAAAATAACATAATTTGTTGACATGAGTAATAAATGATTTAAATTAAAGTTTAACACGAATAACATGATTAACGGGTACTTTAGATAAAAATAATTATTTAACAAGTATTGCAAAAATAATAATAATTTTTTAAATAATATTATATGAGTTGTTGTGGAATTAAATAATCTTTTATTGACACGAATATTGACACACGTACTGAAAGTGACCCAACATAAAAATAATACGACGAAAAATGACACGACACAAAAATAATATGACACAACACGATTGACACCTACGATTTAGGGCTGTAGAGTTGGAGAGTAGTGTTGTTGATTCTACATGGGATGCATCTCCTTATACATGTACAAGTAGGAGTCTGAATCGTGTTGTGTGGCTTTCATGTGGGGTAATTTTTTGTATGTGTCATATTTGTGACAATATTTATATCAATAAAAAATGATTTAATTCTACAATAACTCATATAATATCATTTAAAAAATTAAAAAAATATATTAAATATCTATTTTTTATTTACAGTACTCATTAATTGTGTTATTTGTGTTTAATCTTAATTTCTCGATTTTTTAAATTCTTGTTTCTGAGAAATATTTAGATAGTAATACACACTACATGATCACCACCACATGAGGTGTACATCCAATAAAACACTGACCCTCAGCATCTTTTGTCAAACTTATTTTAAGAAAGGGTAATTCTTTGTGCATCAAAATTTGCACAAATCAGCTGTAGCTATTGGATCAAGTGATATACGTTATTATGAAAAAAAAAAAAAACAAAACAAAAATGGGAACCATACCTCTAAATTTTATAATTTTTGTGGGTGGTAATATAAATTTGAGTAAATTTTATTGACATCTCTTAAAAAAATGGCTTAATTACAAAGACCTCCTTTATGGTTTCTAAAATATCACTCTCATTTCTTATAGTTTATAAGCTTGTTTTTCTAAAGTAAATAATACATCGATATAAATCAAATATTTTAATTAAAGTTATTACGCTCAGCGTGCACTTTATGTTTTTCACGTGGATGACTGGAAAGCATAAGGGCTTCTCTTTGTTTCCAGCTCTTGCTTTTTGTTTGAGGCTTCCATTTTCAACCCAACCATTATTACCTCAACTGGCACTGATCCTTTGATCCAATTTACAATAATTTAACTATTTCGTTTGTCTAAATATTATGTCCCTAAATTAATCTCATGGGTAGTCAAACAAAAATAGAAACGAGCTATAAATCTAATTCCCTAATTCTGATATAAATGATCTATTTCTTAATTAAATTAAAGAGAAAATTAATCGAAATACAAGTGAACGGGTCTGAATAAGACTGCCTGCTATTAAAAAAAAGAAAGAAAAAAAAACTTGATGGCACTGAATTTATCCAATTACCCTCCTAGCTTTGGAATTGTATGTATTGTCACAAGGTAATTAAAGGAGATGGTATCAATAGATTCAAGCAATATTTGACAGAGATTAAAGGAGAAGTATAACAATGTAGTAGATACCCACCCAATGTTAGTTATGAGATGAGATCGCTTCTGAAAAGTACTGTGACTAAGAAAAGAAAAACACAACAACATTATGATGAAATGAATTTATATGGACCAGAGTTTCGAAATTATCAAGAGTAGAAATACATGCAAGAAAATGATGATGTTCAAGAAATTCCATTCTTTTATAAAGTAAAAGGTATTTCCATTGGTGGGGGTCATGGTAAATCAATACATACCAAGAACGTAGGAAGAAAAGGTAAAACAATTGGCTTTTACTTTGTACCAAGGACTACCCCTTATTCTCAGCCTACTATCAAAAGTGTTTTGCAAAGTAAGTAGACAAAAGAAAGGTGTGATCTTGCGGTTTCCAAATGGATAATGGATACTTGCATTCCCTTTAATGCTATAAATTCCATATATTATCAACCTATGTTAGATGCAATTACTAGTTTTGGTAGTGGTTATAAAGGCCCTAACCTTCATGACTTGCGAGATTATTTGTGAACAAGAATGTTGAAGAAGTGAAAAATTTTGTTCATAGTTTTCCAACTAGATGGAAAGGGACTAGTTGTACTATCATGACCGATAGGTGGACAGATCACTGTAGGAGAATATTGATTAATTTCTTGACAATTGAATACTTTGAAATTGGATATATATTTGATGATTTTTATCTACTTAACTTTATATGTTTGATGTTATTTTTATAATTATTGTGATTTTTTATCATATTTATTATTATTTATAATTATTTTTTAATTTTTATTATATTACCGGTTCGACCAGTGACCCAACGGTTGAACTAATGACCCATTGACCCAGTCCCTTCACCAGGTTGAAGTCTAGTCCGGGTTTTAAAACTATGCTTGTGACCATTGATTCTTCTTTTTTTTACTATTTGTCTTATGAAAATGAGGGAACCAATCATCTCTTAATTAGGTAAAAACAATCCTAGTTTTTCCAAATAAATAATATATCGATATAAATCAATTATTTTGGTTAATGTTAACTGCACTTGGCATGCACTTTATGTCATTCATGTGTATGGCAGGAAAGTATAAGGACTCAAATCTTTGGACAGCACGACGGTACTAAAATAAAATATTTTAGTACCTTGCTGAAATCACTTAGAGCCGTGGAAGAGAAGAGTTGCCTAAGCACTTGTAGCTATTGATTCTTCTTTTTTGCACGTTTTGTCTTGTCAAATGAAGGAATCGGTAACCTTTTAAATAGGTAAAAACACTTTCAATTTTTTTAAGTTAATACTACATTGATATAAATCAATTATTTTAATTAAATTTACCACACTTTCAAATCTATTTTTTTTTTGGTTAAGCCACCCAGTGTGGTGGGGGGTTTGAAAGTACCCCTACCTGTATATATTACTAAAATGAAAAAAATACAAGAAAATGTGACATAAATCCAAGCCTCTAGAAGTACAAAGTGAGAGAAAGAAAGTCAAAGTAAAAATAAGGTGGTGACTCACCACAAAAAACATGAAAAATAAATAAACAGAAAGTGAGTACTCCCCAGAGTAAAATAACTAAAAAAATAAATGAAAATATCATGTCTATTTACGAATCCATTAGTTGTATTTTCTAAGGCTTNCTAAGTCTCTAGAAGTACAAAGTGAGAGGAAGAAAGTCAAAGTAAAAATAAGGTGGTGACTCACCACAAAAAACATGAAAAATAAATAAACAGAAAGTGAGTACTCCCCACAGAGCAATATAACTAAAAACATAAATGAAAATATCATGTCTATTTACGAATCCATTAGTTGTATTTTCTAAGGCTTTTGTTTCTTTAATCAAACAACGAACAAAAGCGGGTACTAAAATTGACTAGGTTTCATTGAAACTACAGTCTTAGGACTGGACAAACTAGAGACNTTTTGTTTCTTTAATCAAACAACGAACAAAAGCGGGTACTAAAATTGACTAGGTTTCATTGAAACTACAGTCTTAGGACTGGACAAACTAGAGACTGTTGGGGGGTAATATTGCAGTGTGTGTTTGCCTCGTATATAATCTAAGATGAGATTAGATAATCGTTAACAATCCAACCCCTATGGGTGATAATAAAAAATTAGAATCTCAATCGTACGTGTCATTCAAATTGTTAGTTGTATTATTAAATAAAAATTGGATTCACATGCTCAGAATTTACATTACATTTTACATTTTAGTAAGTAATTGGAAGAATCTCCAATTATTTTACATTTGACATAATTTTCAGCCTATGTTCTTGTAATCTAAATGAAAATTGGATTCACATGCTCAGAGTATGAATGTAAATCTACTTGCTTAATTACATTTTATCACCATAAAATTTAGTTATATTTTAACCATTGTAAAAACAGATTACATACACTTGCTTGAACTGGGTACTCAACTTTCATTATAAACAGGTGGGAGCCCTAAAAGTAATTGCATTTCGTTGAAACTAGTGATTCTGGTTCTATTAAAAGCACAGGTAGAAAAATGTATTTTCCACTCAAAAACGTGATTTCGATACGAAATTTATTAAGTCGGCCTTGACTAATTGTTGACATAAATTAAAAAAATAGTATAATAAACTAATATGCGTAATTGGATTTAGATAGTATCAAACAGGACTAACTAATACGGGTGGCAATCGAATCATGTTGTGTAGGATCATTGCGAGTTCGTGTCGAACATTAGTCAACCATGAACCAACTTATTTAACTAATGATGTTGTGTCGAGTTAACCTGTTTATTTCATGTTATGTTCGTATTCATATTCGTGTTGACCCATATAAATTTTAAATAAAAAATTTAACGATAAGATTATATTTTCACTTAATTGATTTCATATTCATATTTTTTTATAAACTAAAAACTAACTTAATAAACATAATAATAATATTGAGTAAAAAAATATTTTTTATTCAATAATTATGTCAGTGCTTAATAAAAAGTTACAAATAATTGACATTTTATTTATATAATATTAGTCAAATATGTTAATCATTTTAATTTCGTATTATTCGTGTTACCGTACAAATGAGAAAATAGAGAATGTCTTCATTGTTAATTGAAGCTGTTGGACTGATAATAGATTTCATTTACCCCATAAGGGAAGAATAGTTACCATATTCTTGAGACCATATTTTTTTTATACTATATCTAAATGGGTTGAGTACGTCATTTTTGGATAAAAAATTATTAGATTGTATTTGTGTTGTTAACGGGCCATTGT